AGGCGACTCCCAAACCTCCCACTTGCCAAGGAGGGTTTCCGTGCGCCGACTCCCACCCAAAAAAATAAATTTTAATAAAAAAAATTGGGAAGTCGACTCCCAATCCCCCAGGGAGAATTGGAAAGACGACTCCCGTCCGACGACCCCTCGACCAAAATGGGAGTCGTCGGCAAATTTTAGGGAGTCGTTTTTCCAGCCCCCTAATATTTTATTTCTCCTTTTATGTATGTTTTTTTTTTTGGTCTTGGTTATGACTGATAATGTTATGCATGAAATCTTGTCTGATTTTTCTTCAAGGAAAATTGTTTTTATATTCCGCGTAATCAGAATGATGGAGATAAAAGCTAAGCAACAATCCTGATCTCTATTTGTGTGCCCTGATCTTTCCTGCCAGTATTTAACCAAGCATGTAGGACTTGTGGCACATTGATCAATTTATATTTTGTATCAGCCCTGCTGCTGTTTCAAAAACATGATTGAATGTAACCAAAGACATAATTATTACAAGGAATAAATGTTTCAGAAACAGGTCATTGTTTGCATGTTCCACTGATTATCGTCTTTATTTCATCCTACTCTTGATTGACAACAAAGAACAAAAAAAAAAGCTAGGATCGACAGTTTTTCACATAATATACCTACAATTTGACAAATGTACTTATTTATTTGCTTGGTTGATTGATTTTCTCAACTATTTTTTCTTGATCTTAATCAATTTGAAATCCCGAACCAAAAGATTAAACACGGATCCAAAGAATAAAGCCATAGCTATACACATCGACCCAAGAGAAAGAAAAAAAAAAGAGAAAGAGATCAGGAAGGAGGAGATGAATTTTGCTGTGTTGAGAGAAGGCTGAGAAAAAAAAAAGACGAACCAGTAGAAGTGACGATGATAACATTATAAGGCATCGAGAAATCTGGAGTAGCCAGATCGACCAAAGCGCAAGTAGTCCAATACCTTACACTACTACCTCTATGATCAGAAGCTGAAGAATTAAGACCGCTTTGATGAAGATTGTCATGACCGAGTTCATCGTCTTGGTCTTTGTTTTTGGTTTTTGAGGAATACAAGATTAATGCTGCTGGATTCAAGTCGAATCCTCTATTAGCATCAGAAGAATATTCAGTATAGAGTAATAAATCCTTCTCGTATTCGAAATAAATCTTCATCTTTCGTAGTTGAGTGTTCTTTTTCTTCGAATTTCGGTCTTCTGATTGAATATTGGATAGGTTGACCTTCATATCATCGGAGGAAGGGAAATTCAGGGTCATCGTAAAGCTGTATGGGCGTTCTCTTTGTATTGAAGGCTTGATTGTTTTCTTGGTGATCACTCGAGTTGGATATTCTAATCAATTCTCTAGAATCAGCCAACCTATCCTTTACTACGTTTTTTTTTTTTTTCACTACGAAATAAAATATCACATTGACTCAACTGATTTGAATACCATCAACTTCGACTTTTAAAGTATGTAAATAAATCGTTAACCACCAAGGTAATTCTTCGAAATAAACAATCTCTTGTCGTGGATCTCGATCGATTTCTTCTTGTTTCATCTCGATTTCTATTCCCATTATTCCTCTCGTTTGTCCATGTCCTGATAATAATCTTTTGACTTTACCGAGGGTGACGTATAATCTCCGCTGTTTTTTTTTCGTTCAAAAAGGAAAAGAACTCAGAATCAATCACGAGATGCTTTTTTTTTTCTTT